AATATTGTTAGAAATATTAAAATGAAATAAATGATTTTAAAATATTTCAAACAATTATAGCGTATCCTATGTATAGAGTTATTAAAAGTTAGTTTCTCTGCCAGTGCTGCTCATATTTATTCCTTCGGGACCTATTCCACTGTGGACATGCAGTCCATTATACAAACAGTCGTCATAGCCCAGTGAATAGACATGAGCCCCAGTACTGCCTGGACATGTGCTTGTTGTGTATGTGAACCTGGTCAAGTGCTTCCCCACCTCGTACCTGGCCTTCCAACGTCCTAAAGAAACCCGTTTAGACCATCCGTGTGGATGTGATACTATAAAATTCAATTTATCAGCTTTTCTATTGGCTTTGTATTTGTTGCTTATCTTAAACCGTAGATCTTGCCATCGGTCCCAAACTTTCCTCAGTTTATCCAGTAAATCTACATCACAAGTTACACATTTCAACTCGCTTATGTCTTCCTCGATGTTTGTCCCCTTTGCCGTCCAGCCATCAAGACTTACGACAGGACTATTAATTTTATCATAGAACAATCTACACGTTGTGTTTCTCGCCTCAAATTCATCGAAAACCAGCTGCGTGGCCGTGAACAACCTTAATTTCCCCCATACTTTGCTGGGTGTGTCCGAGTGTTGACACTTCTGACATTTGCAAGTTCCTTTTCTGTATTTCTTGTTGTATTTCTCTCCATACTTGTAAACAAACCTTATCATGCCAGTCCCTAATCTCATAACATCACTTCCTCTCCTATCATAAAAAGCGTACTTCTCTTCTGTTTTCGGCCAAAACTGAGGTCTTTCTTTACTCGTTTTTTTAACAAGTACCCTGACAGTGAGGTCAGCTGTTGCTTTAATCAATTCAACTATGGCGTTGTCACAATAACCTTTCGGCAGGTGTTCGGTTGTAAAACTATTGACGAGTTTAAAATGTTTGTGCCTTCGTCTATCCTCACAGTCAAAATGATTTAAAAATTGTAGCTCGAAATCATTTTCTTCCGATTCCTGAATTTCATGTGTCACTGACGAAGCAATAAAAAAGAAAGCATATTTTAATAAGAGTATATTTAAATTATAGAACACAAATTAAAATGATAATACTTTATTTTACACAAGCCTCCCCTGTATTATTTATGTAACGTTTTAAATGACCATTGCATAAAATAAATATACATTATAAAGACAATCTAGATTTTTTTGAAAAGTGGAAACAAGAGGGCAAGTTGTTTAAAATGGGGGAAAATTCTTAATTTACAGGGTGGAAAAAAAAGAGAGGGGATATGCAATAATATATGTGAGTTTAAAATTCACTGATGGCTAAGCTGTTGTACAATGAATAACAGCAGCGTGCTCACGCATGACAAAACATTAAAATAATTTACACTATGCCAGACTTCTACAAATTATAGTGGTGCCTCAGGTTACGAACGCGTCAGGTCAAGGACAATGCGGGTTACGAACAACTTCGAATTTTTGTCTCAGACAACGAACAGGGCCTCGGGTTACGAACGAAGGCGAGAGGTGGAGAGAGAGAGAAAGAGAGAGAGAGCAAGGTTTAACGTTGGAGACAAACGGTCGAGTACAGTCTAAACGAGGAGGAACTGATTCCTTGAAACAACACTGTAGAGTTCACCACAGATAAAACTCTAAAGAAAAAGGAGGAGCTGTCGTTTAATCCGTGAAGTGTGTGTATTCATTGCGTTTTGTCAGCTAAATGACCGAATGTTCGAAAAACAGAACGATTCTTTAATTTTGGAACGGATTGTCTTTATTTCATTGATTTAAATGTTTCAGATTACGAATAGTTCGGGTTACAAAAAAAGTTCTGGAATTTTTTCTAAATTGCCACACACATGTTAAATCATTACGCTTTTGTCCGGCCCCTAAATTTTAATTTTCTTTTATGAGCTAAGTATAATTTCCGTATGCGTATGAATTTCCTACAACATTCATCAGATTGCGATAAAATTTGGTTGAGTTGTCGAGCGCCCACCCCCACCCCCTCAAAGGTTTCTAAATGTTTTTTTTTCCATTTTGAAATATTACGGGAGCCTTAAATTATCTTTTTTTTTATGAACTATAGAAATATAATTTCATACAGAGTTATTGCATGGGTGGATGGAATTGAATCAAATACAAGCGACATTTTATTTTGTTTGTGAGATAATACTGAATTAGTACAACCATTTTATAAATTGGCATTTGCAGCCGTGGGCCTTATTTTTTATTTATGTGACTAATATAAATATAAATTCAAACAGAGCTAATGAATGGATGAAACAATCGCTACACTTGTCTAAATTTTAAAAAAAAAATCTATGTTTGTCCCGTACACAGTGGTATGTTGCCTGCTCACACACACAGTGGTATGTTGCCTACTCAAGTACACAGTGGTATGTTGCCTGCTCACGTACACAGTGGTATGTTGCCTGCTCACGATTTTAAAAAAATGTCTTATTTATTTTGTACGCAACAGACGGAAAAAAAATAATTCTATTTTAAAACTTGAAAAACGTAATTAAAACACAAACACTTTTGTTTTCTATGAGTGGCATAGCAACGCATGCCGGGTTCTCGCTAGTATATATATATATATATATATATATGATAACTAAGAAATCATTATTGTCATTAAAGGAGTTCATTGACGGCTGATTGCTACGCTAAAGAAATACTGTGAGAAATGGAAAATGCATTATCAATTTTGTCACGAAATGTTAGCGCTTTGGCTAAAATAGGCAACTCATGCAATAACGTCATGTGCATTTTTTTAGAACAAATTATGTTTAATTTATCTAGCAAATATTAACAACACACTAAAAACGCAATAAAATAACAGATGCATGGGTTTTCCCGATAAATATGATTGCGATATAATTCTTAGATCATAATTTGTTTTTCTTTTAATTTTCATAACTTGAAAACTGGGATCAAATGTTTCAAATACTTCATTTATTTCTATTGTAAGTGTGTTTGTAATTTATAATAATATTAAAACAACTACTAAAATAAGCAGAAATATTATATTTTTTGTGCATTGAAATTTATTCGATTGATGTAAAATTATTGAAAATGAATGGAAAGGAAAATGTCCAGGGCAAAAACTGAAATGCTGAAGACGACTGCAGCTCGTTCTGCTTAGGACAGACTGACGCCTTAAGTGTGGGATGTCGTCATCATTTCAAAGAAATAACAAATGCTCCGAGCGTGTGAACAACTCAAACTGACAGATGCAAAAAAGGTTTGGTGATAGTTTGATTATCTCTCTACTACGGGGAAAACGAGAAACGTAACATCCTTGCAAACGAAGACAGCCACGGCTACCATAGATGCCAAAAGTGCCGAGGCCTTCATCATGAAGTTGGGATAAGTTAAGCCTTAAAAGATAGAGACCAAAAACCCAAAAACGTAACAATCTTAGGAAACATTCAAAATGCAGCTAATAGTGGGCACATGATGCCCAAGTCTTTACTGCTCCGCATACTCTGGTTGAATTGCAAAAAGCCAAAAATGAACCACTAGACATAAGAAGGGACATGGCAGAATTGATCATTACAGAACGGTAAGGGTGGATAAATTTTAAAAAAAAAAAAAACAAGCTTTCGAATTTAGACTAATTGTGCATCAAGTTGCAAAACTTGAAAATACAGTCGAAAAAGCCCTGAATATATTCAGAAAATTCCCACCCTTGAGACCATGAAATTTTTGTGGAAACCCCAGTGAAAATTTTCACAAAAGAGAAGGAAATACAGGATCAATGGCACTGATCATAAACCTATTTGGAGAGTCACCAAAAGGAAGAGCTTTAGGGAATTGTGAGAATACAGCAATGATTGTCATTGCGGAGCTAGAAGCTAATCACAAGTCAGTGGGAAGTGTTCCCTGCAAGCTGATGAAGTGGTAGCTTGTAGGACTCGATGTTGCCGTGTTCTCCGAATAAAGATCTGCTTTTGAGACTTTAAATTAGGAAGAATATCATTCACTTAATGGCGCTTCTTGGATGACGTGGGCAAGATTGAAAGAAACGGAGGCAAGGTAACAGTTCCTTAGACGTTAGCGGCAATGAAAAAGCAGACACATTGGCAAAACGGGAGGCTGCCCAGCCTCCGCCAGAAACATCATTGACTTACCAAAGAGTCCAAAAAAAGGCTTGCAGACTATTTATGAACAAATAAATAAAGCCAGTAAGCAGACATTTCGAAAGCCACGGGTGCATTTGCTAGCATACCAGTAGCTAGCACCCAGAAACCCTGGGGGAATTTCAATCCCCGTTACCACAGCCTGGTACTGTGCAGTCTGGTGTAAAAAAAAGCCACTAGTGTATCTGTTGACTGAATGCCCAGCACTAGTGGGCGGCGGAAGGGTCTCTCTTTACGACGATGTTATATGGCATATCCCAGCAGATGAAATTGGTTGCCAATGGAACAACATGTGTTTTAAGAGCCTTTAGATGAAGCCTCAAACAGAATGTGTGTGAATTAGTACCACATTTTACATTTGACGTAGAAATTAGAACATTTTGGCAATTCAAATTAATGCGAAATTTCAGTTTCATAAGATAGTTCATATGTCAAGTCTTTACTGTGACAAATGACGTGTTGATGATAAGACATTAATGAATATGAAAAAAAAAATTTGTATCGTTTTTGCAATCCATCCATGAGGCGTTCAGCTCATGTAGGGATTTGATCCTGCCTCACCCCTTTCTTCTCATCAAGCCTAACTAATGGTAATATAGATATCATACAACTTTTTAATGTGTTGAAGGTAAAATGTGTCAAGTCTAAAATCTAGAAGTATTGTTATGCATTTCAGATTTTGATTATATACTGATGTATTCCACTTATAAATGAACATTTCTGCATCTTTTGTATACACCTAATAAGATTAGAAAAGAAAAAAAAATATTTACCACAGAAATGATTTTCGTCACAGTCATTTAAGGCATATTCATCAGCATCTTTTTGGCGATAGTTATACATCTGATTTAATTTGTCATAATATGTTTCAAAATTTTGGTCTGAAGTAAAAAGGTCGCCACTCGAAACTGACCAGCCATCGAAACTTGAAGCTAAAACGATACATTTTTAAAAAGTCGTTTTTATATAGATTTTTATAATTTACTATTTACTGTATATTGCAATCTATATATCTTTATCAGTTATAAAATTTATCATTTTAAATTGCGAGCCCTCTTAGAACCAGAATACTATTGAAGCAAAAACAAACAAAAAACTTTAAACACTCTGTAAACAATAAAATTAAGCCCCGTCAAACACCACATTTTGAACAATAACTCTCACGTTTAAACGTTTAAACGCATCATAATAGGAGTTTCGGATAACATTGAGATAAGAGGCCACATAAATGACACAAATGATTAGTCTGAACACATAAAATCGGGGCCCTTGTCAATCAACATTTCTATTAAGAGCCGCTGATTAATCTTTAAGGGAATTGTTATGAAAATTTGACATTTTTTTCAACATTGATTTAAGCGTATATCCCACAATATAAATTGTTTTAAGATCAAATTTAAATTTGAGCTCTCGTGAAAGAATTTTAAATTAAAAAATATCAGTAAAATATCCCAGCTCTTGCGTAACAATTTTACAATTTTATAGAGCACAAATACTTTTCAAAAATACTCTTATCAAAGAAGAAACAAAATTTAACTTTTAGGAATCATTTTCAGCTTTTTCACAAATTATAAAAAATATAAATTTCTTTAAATTTATGTGCTTAAAATGAAAAAAGCACATTGTTAAAGTTATCACCATAAGTTATAAAGTGGAAAGACCTTGTCAGTAAAATGTCTTGTGCTATAACTTTGATAAGAGGTCAATTTAATTTTATTTCAATTTAAGTTTTAAAATTTGCATTTATTTAAATAGATTAAAAATTACAGAATTGTGAAATCCAAAATTTGCCAATTTATATATCTTAATAAATTATAAATCCCGTACAGGGACATATATATGGCATCCTTCAGTCTACTTGAGACGATGGAGTAGCCATAGTCCTACACTTCTCGTGTGGCTAACTAGACCAATCCTAGAATGACAATCTCGACCGCATCTCTCTCAGGAGAATATTGATTCTTGGTAAGATTTTGACTTCCGTATTGTTCTTTTTGTTGCAAGGGACTCGTTTCGCGTACCTTCTGCCTTTTCTACTCCTTCAAATACTGCTGTTCGCCAGCTATAAAGTTGTTCGGCAATAAGCTCCCATTCGTTGTTTTCAATATTGGCTTCCCTCATGGTCCTTTTGCAAACGTCCATAATTCTCAGGGTTGCCGTTCAATAATCTTGTCCCTTCTGCCAACACTCCAAACAGCAGCATCTTAGGGATATGGACTTCATCCATTCTCCTTATATGGCCTAACCAGCTAAGGCGCCTCTTGCTAAGAAAGGAGAATATGCTAAACATGTGTGCACGTTCCAAGACCTCCATGTTAGGCACCTTGACAGGCCTTTGAATGCTTAAAATGCGACGAAGATATCCTTGAGAGAAGCTGTTGAGTTTCCGCTCCTGCCTGGTATATGTGGTCCACAATTCGCTACCATATATGAGCGTACTAAGCACAAATGCCTGAAAGACATTTATTTTTGTTTTATCAGTTAAATTGAGATTATTCCACACCCGCTTTTTCAGTTCAGCGTTATTTGCTGTTGCTTTTGCGATCCTATTTATCTCGTCACCAACGGAGAGAGAATTAGAAATATTCGATCCAAGGTATGTGAAACGCTCAACAACCGAAAGATTATGACCCTCACTGGATATGATTGGAGGGGACAGTGCATCTTGAATTATTACATGAGTTTTCTGCAGACTAATCGAAACTCCAAACTCTTTAAAAGTGTGTGATAGACGATTAACCATCCCCTGAAGACCATCTTCTGTGTGAGATGTTAAGGCGACTTCGTCAGCGAACAGCAATTCCCGAATCAAAACCTTTTTTTTCTAAATTAGTATTTGCACGAAGGCGGGCGATATTGAAGAGCCTACCACCAAATCTGGTATGGACGTACAATCCATCTTCACATTCACTGAAGGCAAATTGAAGGAGCATCGAGAAAAAAATGAAGAAGAGCGTTGGTGCCAGTACACAACCCTGTTTTACTCCACTGCTGACTGGGAATGCCTCAGAGACCACGCCATTGTAAGTTACTGTGCTGACATGTTTTTTTTAAAATGGCTGTATGTTTGTGACACAATGACGTAAAGGAAAAAATATTATAAAAAGAATTATATGAAACATTTGTTTTTTAAATTTTAGGTTTCTTTAATTAAAGTTTTAAATCAGTTATTAAAAATTGGAACAATGTCTGTTTGGACTTGCAAAAAAAAAAACAGAATAGGTTTAGAGCATATTATTATCACGGTAGATTTATTTTAGTTTTCTTAATGTTAAGTTATTATTTTAAAAAATACACAATAAGAAAAGAAATATAGGGAAATCGAAGACCAGTCGTAAGAGAATATTTTGTATTACGTTTTGAGATATTCTGTCAAATCCCTCACTTAATTTGTTTCCATTCGTCACACTAGCTTGTGTATAAGTCCAAGAAATAGGAGAAATCGTGGATACTTCTGATGTACTGCTGTGCAAACTTCGGTTACGTATTATGACGCGTGCAGTGGTTTGTTTTGTTCAACAATACAAACGTTTATTGCACCTTTAATATATCCATTTTCCCGTCTCCACATTCGACATAAATTCTCACGACTGTCAAAGTCACCATACCTCGATTCTCCTACCACGTGTCGGCCTGTAATTTGCTCAGAGGTCATTTTTCAGACGTATGATCCTATTTTAATGTGACGTCACATGGCTTATAGCCCCCCTCCTCATTGTCATACATCGTCACAAAAATTCCCATTGGGATTTTACCAGCGTACTCTCCCACCACCACTTTTTCCCCAACCCGAATTGTGGACTATCGGTCTGCTAGGAAACGATTTAAAATTAAAAAAAACATGTATAGTCCTTAAAACATTAAATATTTACAATTAATTCTTACATGAATCACTTTCTTGTAGGTACATAAAATTATCATACTGCTCAAACTGTGTCTGTGGAATAAAAAAAAAATATTTTATTATTTCTCTTAATCGCACCAATCGAGCAGGGTTTCTTTCAGCTATATCTCCGGGCGTGGGAGATATAGATGAAAGAAATCCTGCTCGACTGTCCCCCCCCCCTCCCCGGGGAAAGCCAAGTGCCCCCTTGTAGGTAAAATTTGTCCAACAACCAAATCAACTGACACTGCAGGCACTGCCCCCCACCCCAAAAAATCTGAAGTGCCCCCCCCCGGAGGTGGGGGGAGGGGGGATCTCTGAAATAATCACTGCAGTCGAGGCTTGCTAATGTTATAGTCTAGTTTTTTCGACAAATCGGTAGTTGGATGTGTTCAGTGCCTTCACAAGTTCTTCCTATTAAAGTTGGATTGACATGCCTCAGACAAAAATGTGAAATAAATAAAAATGTTATTATTCATTTTATTCTGACAGTAGGATTTTAACGCTTGAATAGTGCACTTTTGTAAATAATGAGATGACTTAAGTATCTATAAAAAGACAAATGCATCAAAATTTAATACACTTTAATATTTTATTTGCATTAAATTTATCAAGCTAATATACGATTGTAACTTGTTTTAAAATTTGTTTGAAAAGGTTTTTGTAGACTTTTAACTAAACTAAATGCAAGGTAAATAGTTTAGTATTACTTCGGTTAATGTTTATTCTTGATAAAAGGAAATCAGTTGGTTGTACAGAATATCAAAATTTTATATTAAAAGGTATACTAATTCATAGCTATCCGGTTTTATCATTTATTAAAAACGTATAGATAGATTATCAAATAAAAAAAAATAAAAATAATGTTAATAAAGTAAATGTTTAAAATGGGCAAATACTTTTTTTCCAATACGATTTCATTACAAAGCTGATGCTATAAATAAAGGGGCTTAGGGTTAGTATTTATTTCAATTACCCGAAACATCGTGTTAGTTCAGGACCTGAATCAGGTCTGTGAGAAGTTTTTGTTATTCGTATAGAACAGATATACATTTTATTGAATACAGCATCTTAAATCACATAGTCACCAAAATTGGTGGAAGTTAACTAAAAAATTGACAACTATTAAATTACCTCAAAGTTTAATAATTGTGATGGCTCACAGGCGGGAGGGCTGTCGGAATGGGGCGGCGGGCGAGTTACGGGAAGGTGGCGAAAGGAAAGTTTTTGCGATTTCGGCTTTTTGGGGATTAATGGAATACTAGTTGCTGGTTGAGAATTTAAAAAGTGAGGAGGTGTTGTTAAAAGGGTAGATGTAGCTTGTTTATCACTACCGGGAACAGGGGTGTTTATTTTGAGACACAACGGTGATGTGGCTGGCGTAGATGATGGCAAACTGGGGCCTCTCGGTTGCAACTCGATCACCTATAGTTTTTTTTTTTTGGCAATGGAAAGAAAAAATCATTTAAGTCATTTTATTCAATCTTTTATAATAAAGTTTTTAGGAAATAACGTAACAATACGTGTGACATTTTGTAAGAATATGTGAGGAAATGTAAACTAATGTGATATCATTGGACACAAATGAGATGACATAATGTAATGACAGATAGTGGTAGTTTAGTTTAGTGAATGTGAGGAAATGTAAACTAATGTGATACCATTGGACACAAATGAGATGACATAATGTAATGACAGACAGTGGTAGTTTAGTTTAGTGAATGTGAGGAAACGCCGAATGACAATGTATGACACTGAGATTTATAATTTACTATAATTAGTTTAAGACGGCCATGAGGTAATGAAGTTTAATATAAGATAGCATTGGTTAACTGGTGAGGTAAAAGAATACGAGCCAAACTAAAGTAATTTAAGATAATGTGAGATAACGTGGTCAAATTTAAGATTTATTAAGTAACTAGATGAAATACCCGGATTAGAATCATCCTATTTTTACAACTTTTCATTTTTTAAAAAATCTTTATAAAAGCGTAAAAAGAAAACAAAATGATTTAGCTGTTTCAACAATATTTTATTCATCAATCGCTGTGGCGTTCCAGCCAGTGTAGGGCTTTGGCCCGCCTTATGACTTCCTTTCACTCAGACCGAACTGACAAGTTTCTTTTCCAGGCTTGCATTCCCAGCTACTGTCGATCTTCTTTCCACATGATCCATCGATCTGAGCCGACGTCTGCCTTTGAGCCGTTTTCCCCTGGCGGTTCGATGGAGGACCCTCTATACGCAACTGTCATTTGGGAATTTTCTTAAAGTCTCCCGCCCAGCGTAGCATGCCCTTTTTATGTCTTCTGCTAGTGAGGGATCCTGATATAGACTATATATCTCCTTTCTTTTTTGCCTCTTGTTTTGTATTCTTCATGGATATTCATCCTTTCTTGAGAACATTCTATCCGATGTGTTTAATAGTTTTTCTGCGGTTTTTTTTTTTTTTTTTTTTTTTTTTTTTGGGGGGGGGGGGGGTTTTGTTTTTTTTTTGTGTTTTTTTTTTGTGTTGGTTTTTTTTTTTTTTTTTTTTTTTTTTTTTTTTTTTTTTTTTTTTTTTTTTTTTTTTTTTTTTTTTTTTTTTTTTTTTTTTTTTTTTTTTTTG